TGAGCTGAAGAGCTGAGGGACAATGTCCAGGCCCAGAGTTCAGGCCCCACGACCGGACTAAAAAAAAAAAAGAAAACATCTGTAGCTAATATTTTACCTATTTATCTGTTTATTCAATGGCCTGGATTCAATCCCTACCACCACATGGTGCTTAGGAATCCTATTTTGGTTCTTGTGTGTGTGTGTGTGTTTTTTTTTTTGGCCAGGCCTGGGCTCTGTCCATGAGCCTCTTTCTGTTCAAGACTACTACTACTACTTGGGCTCTACTACTTTCTCGGTGTGACTATATAATGTAACTACTATGGAAGTAGTAGAATTTATATTACTTTTACACATACTTGAGCTACATAGACTACCACTTCTGGCTTTTTGTAAGTAGTTTATTGGAGATTAAGAGTTTCATGCCCCGGCTGGTTTTGAACCAGGATCCTCAGACCTCAGCCTCCTGAGTAGCTAGGATTACAGGTGTGAGCTACCAGTGCCCAGCTATTCTAAGGTGTTTTTTTTTTGAGACAAAGTCTATTTGCCCAGGCTGACCTTGAACTCTTTTTTTTTTTTTTACTTTGTCAGTTGTGGGCTTGAAGTCTAGGCCTGAGCACTGACCCTCAGCTCTTGAGCTCAAGGCTAGTGCTCTACTACTTGAGCCACAGCACCACTTCTGGCTTTTTCTGTTTATGTGGTGCTGAGGAATCAAACCTAGGGCCTCATGCATGCGAGGTAAGCGCTCTTCCACTGAGCCACCTTCCCAGCCCTGACCTTGAATTCTTGATCCTCTTGTTTCAGCCTTCTAAGGGCTAGAATTGTAGGCATACATTACCATTGTATTGATTGTTTTAAGTCAGTATTTTAAGGACTGTTTTTCTAAATATATTAATCATACAATAAAGGACCAAAAAACTGCCAAGTGAATTCATAACAGCATTAGTAATAATTAACATATAACAAGTAATTTTTATTTTAAGCACTTTATATCCTTATGTCAGTTTAATCCTTACAACAGGCAAATTGGATATTATCCTCCCTCACTGTACAGATGAGGGAGCTGAGACTTAGGTTAAATAAGTTGCTTAGGGTCACATGTACTTAGTGGCAAAGCCAGCCTGGTGATGATACAGGCTCCCTGCTTTGGTCAGGTTATGGGAGGATGTCTCCTGCTAGATAAGATGAATAAACAAAGGCTGCAGTCTGAACCATTTTTGTGCTGAATTCTGGATCAATATTATCATGATTTTCATAGTCCTTAAGAACTGGCTCCTTTTAAACCTTGGTTGGTTTATTGAATGCTTTTCTGTTCATGGCTGAGTAGTCAGGAGAATGGGGACTGATTGCTTGATGGGCTGCCATAACTTGGTTCAGTCATTGAGTATTTGTTCATTCGCTGCGACACAGGTGATGACAGAGGATCCCGTAAACCCCTGAGCTTTGTGCATTCTTCAGGGAGCAGGTTGCTTCTTGGAGTCTTGGACGATAGAGATTCAAATTCATGTAATTCAGTTCATTAGCAGCACTAGCTTCAATTTTTAACTCAAGCATCAGTAGTTCCTTTTCTATCTTTGCATTATGGATCACTATACATGATAGAGAGAGAGAGAGATAATCTTTGGGTTTTTCTTTCCTGTGCTGGTGTTGAAACTAGGGTCTAGGGTCTTGTGCATGCTAAGCAAATGCTCTACCACTGAGCTACAGATTTTTTTTTTAAGCCAGTCTTGGGGCTTGAATTCTAGGCTTGGGTGCTATCCCTGGGCTTCTTTTGCTCAAGGCTAACACTACCACTTGAGCTACAGTGTCATGTCTGGCTTTTTCTGTGATTAATTGGAGATAAGAATTTCCCACACTTTCCTGCCCAGGCTGGCTTCGAACCTCGATCCTCAGATCTCAGCCTCCTGAGTAGCTAGGATTACAGATGTGAGCCACAGGTACCCTACATAGACCTTTTGTTTTTTTTGGGGGGGGTCTGGTCGTGGGGCCTGAACTCTGGGCCTGGGCGCTGTCCCTCAGCTCTTCACCTCAAGGCTAGTGCTCTACCGCTTGAGCCACAGTGCCACTTCTGACTTTTTTCTTTTTGCTTAGGTGGTGCTGAGAAATCGAACCCAGGGCCTCATACATGCAAGGCAAACGCTCTACCACTGAGCCACCTTCCCAGCCCCTAGACCTTTTTTTTTTGGTATGCTTTTTTAAAGACAGGGTGGCTATCAGCTATAGAGCTGAAACTGGTCTTGAACTCTTCTTACCTCCCAAGTGCTCAGTTTTGGCATGGGACACCATGTGCAGCTAAAACCTTTTAAAGTTGAAGTGAACAATAGATTGAAAATGGAAAATCTGCAATTTTTTCCCTGTTTAAATCTGTTGTTGGCCAAAACCTATCCCTTTACCTTTTAAAAAAGTATTTGGCCGGGTGCCGGTGGCTTACGCCTGTAATTCTAGCTACTCAGGAGGCTGAGATCTGAGGATCACAGTTCAAAGCCAGCCCAGGCAGGAAACTCCGTGAGACTCTTATCTCCAATAAAACCACTAGAAAATCGGAAGTGGCGCTGTGGCTCAAGTGGTAGAGTGCTAGCCTTGAGCTGAAGAGGACAGGGACAGCTCCCAGGCCCAAAGTTCAAGCCCCATGACCGACAAAACTAAAAAAAAAAAGTATTTTAATTGTATTATTTGATTCTTCTTTTCCTTCTAAATATTTAAAGTTTTTATGAAAGTATTGAAATGTTTTATATTTACTTTATATTATTCTGAACAAAATAGAAATTTTAATTTTGTTTGAAATAATATGTACAGACAACAATCTATAACCAGTGTATAAATTGCTTTCAATAGAAGAAATAAAGGTCACTGAGTTGTTAGAGGTAGGATTAAAGTATCTGTATAAATAAAATGGAACTCTTATGTTATACTATGCAGTCATTTTCCTTATCTGTCAACCAAAGTGAAAATATTGAAGGCCTCGGTGTCACACTGTGGTTATGCAGTGACTGGCTGGGCCACAGTTGTCACCCAGTGCTCTGTAGGGGCAGGCGTGGGCCCAAGTAGAACATACGCTGACTCCTCCACATTTTCTCACTTCTATCCAGGGACCTCTTGACAACATAAAGTATCCAATACTAAAGAAAAGGTACTTCTGGACTTGTGCTCAGTTCCTCTGTCAGGAATAATGTGAAAGGGTATGACTGTATTGCTATGAAGAATTTACAGGTTGGGATCACTGCCTGTGTTCTGTCATCACTGGTGGAAGCAGGCTGCTAGAATGAGATAATACTGGAAGAAACTTGATTCATGAAAGGCACATGACACAGAGGTGCTTTTTTTTTTTCATTTAAAATGGGTCATTGACAAATTGAAAGTGGAAACCAAATTGCTACTTTGGGTTGCTAAAAGTAGGGGAGCTCCCAGATACTTGGCAGAGCTGCATCTGAGGGCATGGAAAGCCCCAGAGGGGACAAGGTGAACTTGTGCCGGTCTACCTTGCTGCTGGCAAGCTGCTCCTCTGCCTGTGGGCTGAGGGAGCCACTTGTGATGCTGACTTGTTCCGTACACTCACCTACCAGTCAGTATTCATGTTAGTTTTGGTAGTTTTGCCTTTGGTCATGTTTAGTACTCCAAGATTCTCTGTATTTTTGGACAGATAACTAGTACATATACAGTTTTCTTTGCTATGTTCAAACTAAATGTCTCAAAATTCTGTAGTTTGGAGTCCAGAACTCGTCTGTGGCATCCTTTCAACAACCTACCCAACCTGTGGCTAAGAATACCTCCATGAGCCCTCGGCAGCGCCGGGCCCAGCAGCAGAGTCAAAGAAGGTCATCCACTTCACCTGACATAATCCAGGCCCAGCAGCCAAGAGACAACCACACCGATCATGGCGGGTCAGCTGTACTGATTGTCATCCTGACTTTGGCATTGGCAGCTCTAATATTCCGACGAATATATCTAGCCAATGAGTACATATTTGACTTTGAGTTATAATACTGCTTTCTGACTTCAAGAGTTGTGACTCAACTGCTTCATTAAACATTCTGTATTGGGTATAATCTAAGAATTGTTTAAAAAAGATTATTTTGTATTTATCCTTCATTCCTTTTTTTTTTTTTTGATCCTTATAAATTCAATGTAAGTATAGCCAGACATTCAGGCTGTGTCCAGCAATATCTGCTGTTCAGTAAGAGATCAGAAGCCAGAGTTCATGGTCTCATTATTTCACCTGCTTCACAGACAAAGAATTTATTACTGTCTCTCCAGCTCAACTTCTTTTTCTGTAAATTTGCCATACTTTTCTGTGTAGCCCTTTGAATTTTTCAGATAAAGGATGGTGTTTTAAATTCCCATGAGTATTATCTAGTTGCTCAGTATCATTTAGAGAGTACTCTTTCTACTGTAGAATGAGGCAGGGAAAGAAGAATTGAAAAGGGAGACCAGAACTCAAGTAGCTTCCTTCAGTGTCATTGTAAGAGAAATACTAGGGTTGCCCATTCTGTGACTTTGTTTGCGTTTTAAATATTCTCCAGTGAAATAACTTTTTTCAAACACTTGGAGCATCTTTGTTGCATCTTTGTTACATCTTTGTTACTGGATGTTACTTGAAGAGGAAGTACTTTGCAACCACTTTGATATGCTGTTATTACCCCCTCTGATATATATATATATATATATATATATATACAGATTTTACAAAAAGAAAGGAGGAAGAAAAGGGAAGGAAGAAAAAGAACTCAGTTCTCCATAGCCCTTTTTCTTAAGGAAGGAAGGGTTCAAGCTAGGAAATTGCTTCATTTTCTTTCAGAGAAGTGAGCGGATCATAAATTTGAATATTTGTCCTGCTCTGAGTTGTATATATTTTGAAATGTATTATTATACCTAGCTTTGTAATTGCTATAAATTTTAATTATCCCAGGAATATGCATAATTTGAAATATTTCACATACCATTTTAATAGAAAAACTCAGGGCCCCGGTAATAGCAGTAATAGAAGGTAGGAAATCTTTACTTAGAATTATTCCAATCAAAGCCCAAGAAAGATGTCCAGTGAAAAGAGTCTGTATGTTGTTTAGTGCTAGCCAGCTGCCCAGATGCTAATAGATAAACGTGTTGTCACAATGCTGCTGCAGCACTGCCCACAGAAGACTGCATCATGCTCCCTAGTGGCATGGAGGCCCTGTCGTGAAGACTGAATTTTCAGATGCAGGCTTTTAGGTTAGCCTCTAAAAGTACACTTAAGATTTTTTTGTTTCATTTTGACACCACAAGCAATATAAATAATATTTAAGCTCTCATCCATGAAAATTATCCCATTTGGGATAGGGTATTCATAAAGTCCTTATGTGATTTTAACTGAATTATGGGCAGGATACAAAAGACTACATAAAATCGTTTTAAAGACAAATTTAACTTTTATTCTTGTTATGAGACTAGAATTTCGAACCTACTAACCACAAGACATAATTTCTGTTTTCATAGCCAGTTTTCCATTATGTCTGCATCTAAAATAAAAATATATTGTACAACACTGGGCTCCAGTGGCTCCCGCCTCTAATCCTAGCTACTCAGAAGGTGGAGATCTGAAGATCGTGGTTTGAAGCCAACAGGGGCAGAAAAGTCCCTCTTATCTTCAATTAACCACTCAAACACCTGGAAGTGGAGTTGTGGCTCGGAGTGGTAGAGCACTAGCTTTAAGCAAAAGAGCTCAGGGACAGTGCCCATACCCTGAGTTGAAGCCCCACAACTGACAAATAAATAATAGATATAACGCTAATTTAATAGCTTTTAAAGTTGTTCATAGATTATGTCTATAGCTGAAGTCAGGAAAGATTAAAATGCCTAAGGACTTCATGAAGCCCTCAGGTCAGGACAGATATAAGTTATCCTTTTATAATTTCGATTGCCATGAGAAGATACATCTTGAAGACCTGGTTTATAACACAACATGAACAATGTCAGGTCAGTGGTCTCTTAGTAACAAGTCATCGACTCAGTTTAGAAGATCAAGTAGCGTTACCACCTAGGAAAAAAGTACCCACGCTCTCACCCTGTGCCAAGCTAAATCATGTGCTATAACAGTCCTATTTGCTCCTCTCAGATTTGAGGCAGCCTCGGAGCTCTGCGACCCTGGTGCATGCTTCCATGGGGCAAACCTGTACTTTTAAAGCTGAACACTGTGTAAAACCTGCCTTCACCTCATTGGCTTCTCTTCTCTTCCCTTCCCTGTCAAATAATTGGCTGCTTGCTAATTTGTGGTGGGATTTCCTAGTAGCAAATACACACATCTGGTAGTGGCACATATACTCCCTCAAAACTCCCTTATTGTGGGGCTTGTGAGCCCACCAATAGGCTTCTTCAGAAACCTATTGTTTTTAAAGTCCCACTTTAAATTTTTAATTCCAGCATAAACCTAAACTGTATAATCTGTAGGTCAAAATCTTAGGACTCCAATTTCCCTCATTCTCAGATTTTGGCAATTTGTGGCCTTTTCTTTGACCAACATGGCACATGATTATAAATCAAGGTAGTTAAAATAGCATGCTTTAAAAAAAAAAATGTCTGTTTTACTTGTAACTGTTTAAGCCAAGGAATCTTTCACATTTTATGTAATGTGGGCTTTTATGTAGCACTTTACATTTCCATGCTGCTTATTGTTTTTATTCTACTGAAATAAATAAATTTCATCAAGATTCTCAACTACTTTTTCAAACTTAAAAAATGTATTTTTTTGACTATGGAAATATAAAATTTCCTACTTCAGGAGAATAAGAACTCTGTTATTTTGAGTTTAGGAAGAAACATCCTTGTATCTTGAAACTGCCTTTTTTACATTTTATGCTGGTACTGGGCCTTGAACTCATACCTCATGGACTTGCTTGGCTGTTTGCACAAGGCTGGCATTAAATACCTCCCCTTCTGGAATTTTGTTGGTTAACTAGAAATAAACTTCTAGATTTGTTTGCCCAGGCTTGTTTCCAACTTTGATCCTCAGATCTCAGCCTCCTGAGTAGTTTACGATTATAGGTGTGAGCCGTGGCACTCGACTCAAGACTACCCATTTTTATAGCCTAGAATCAATAACAAAAAAAACCTTACAAATTTGCACCTACTTGAGCACAAACCTGGGATGAAGAGCCTATTTGTTATTTGCAAGTAAGTATGCATAAAGTGAATGCATTTAGTGAATTGACTTCAGCCAACCAAGAATAGTGTGTACATGAACACAGGTACCATCGAAGCCCTCGTGGGAGGCTGTGAATGGCTCAGCCATTCTAGAGGCCCTGCTTCTAGAACAGGTGCCTTTAGCACTAGTTTGAGCTGTTCAATAAAACCAATGACTGTATTCATCCTTTGTTATTAAGCAAGGGTTTTATTATTTGCCATCCAATCTTAGCACCTTTCTCATTTTTTCCCTATCTTTAATCTTATCTCCATGCTCACCACCACTGCCTTCCTTAGCTTCCATCTCCTCTAAATTAGTGAGATGATCTCTTACTAGGGCTCCAGTCTTAATCCATTATACTGTAGCCAGTCATCTCCAATAAATATCCTATTCTGCCTCTCTGGTTGTTAACTCAACCAACCTAAACCCTAATTAAAGGGCATGCTGCTGTGTGACCAGAGGACTGCCTAGCTTGCTGGCATGATCTGACTTCAGCAATGCTGGGGCCTTCCCTTAGCTCTGAGCTTGAGGCAGGGTTGCCATTCATAATCTCATGCCACAGACAAAAATTAACTCAGATGAAAGACTGAGAGCTCATACTAGTTGCAGATACCTATTAATCCTAGCACTGAAGTAGTGGAGACAGGAATGGTCATGAGCTCAAGGCTAGTCTGGGCTATGAGGTGAGAACCTGTCTTTAAAAAAAAAAAGTTGGGGGGCTGGGAAGGTGGCTCAGTGGTAGAGTGCTTGCCTTGCATGCATGAGGCCCTGGGTTGATTCCTCAGCACCACATAAGCATGAAAAAAAAAAAGCCAGAAGTGGTGCTGTGGCTCAAGTGGTAGAGCGCTAGCCTTGAGGTGAAGAGCTGAGGGACATCACCCAGGCCCAGAGGTCAGGCCCACAACCGGACCCAAAATAAATAAGTAAAAATAAAAGCTGCTGGGCACTGGTGGCTCATGCCTGTAATCCTAGCTACTCAGGAGGCTGGGATCTGAGTTCAAAGCCAACCTAGGCAGGAAAGTCCATAAGATGCTTCAATTAAACTAGAAATGGAGCTGTGGCTTAGGTGGTAGAGCACTGTCCTTCAGCACAAAAGCTAAAGGACAGCACCCAGGCCTTGTGTTCAAGCACCACAACCACCACCACCACCAATAACAACAAAGTGAAAAATATGAAACCAGCAAACAAAATTTGTGTTACATTGGGCTAGGTAGTGGTTTCTTAGATCCAAGATCAGAAGCACAAAGAACCAAAGAAAAAGGTTTAATCAAAATAAAAACCTGCGTTCTCCTGGAAGTGCTGTTGTGGTTCAAGAGGTAGAGTGCTAGCCTTGGGCACAGAGAGGCTCAAGGACAGAGCTCAGGACCTGAGTTCAAGGTCCAGGACTAGTTAAAAATACAAAAAAAAAAAAAAAACCTCTATGTTTTTTATTTATTTTATTTTATTTGTGAACATACTGTACAGAGGGGTTACAATTACATGGGCAGGATAATGCGTACATTTCTTACCAAGCATTGCAGCCTCCTCCTTTGTTTACCCTTCACATCCCTTCCCAGCCTCCCCCCTCCCCCCCATATGTTTTAAAGATACTACCAAAATGAAAATACAACACAGAACTTTGGAGGAGTGGGGGAGTGGGGTGGGGGAGGGGAGGGCAGGGATGGTAAGGGGAAACAAACGAGGAGACAACAATTCTTGGTAAGAAATGTACTCATTACCTTGCTCATGTAACCCCTCTACGGTATTTTCACAATAAAAAAAAAATACAACACAGAATGAGAATATAGGGAACTTGTATTGATATCTAAACAATCAGAACACCAGTGGCTCATACCTGTAATCCTAGTTATTCAGGAGGCTGAGATCTGAGGATATAGGTTTGGAATCAGCCTGGGAAGACAAATCCAAGAGACTCATCTCCAATTAGCTAGCCAAAAGTCAGAAATAGAGGGATGATTCAAGAGACAGAGTGCCAACTGTGAGAAAAAAAGCTGAGAATGAGAGGCCCCAAGTTCAAGCCCCAATACTGGGATGGGAAGGGGGGGAGGGGAGGGAGAAAAAATATCTAAATAGTATTTATATTATCAGTAAAAAAGAGAAACATGGTGCACACACACACACACACAAATTTACAACAGCAACTGAATCAATAGTCTATAAAGGACATACAAATGACCAACGAATGCATGGGGGGGGGGGATTTCAACATTAGCCATGCTGAGATACCAACTCACACAAGAACAGCTAGAATGAATTCGGCCAGATAACAAGAATTTGGCAAATATATGGAGAAACTGGAGCTCTTCCCCATTTCTGGTGAGAAAGTAAAATGATACAGCTGTCTTTAAAAACAGTTTGGCAGTTCCTCTAAAGGTGAAATTGAAGTTTTACATTAGGACCCAGCAATCCCCTGTCACCTGTGTGTCCAAAAGAAACAAAAGTATGATGACACACAAACTTGTACCTGAATATTCATGGCAGAAATTTGTTAGAAGGCAAAAGGTGGAAGCCCAGATGACCAACTAATGAATGGATAAACAGCTCACTGTATCTATTGAATGGTCCCCATAAAAGGAACTGAGGGATGAAACATCCTACAGCCAAGACTGGCCTGAGTGAAGCCAGATACCAAGGAAGCGTGTGTGATGTCAGCCCTATACAACGCCCACAACAGGCAAATCCAAAGACAGAATGATCATTGCTGCAGGAAAGGGAACAGGACTGACTGCTACTGGCTCTGAAGTTTCTTCAGGAGAAGATTCAAATTTTCTAAAATTAAAGCTGGGTGCTGGTAGCTACTCAAGAGGCTGAAATCTGAGGATTGAGGTTTAAAGTCAGCACAGGCAGGAAAATCCCCTGAGACTCTTCTCTCTAATTAACTAGCAAAAAGCTAAAGTGGAGCTATGGTTCAAGTGGTAAAGTGCTAGCCTTGAAAGAGAAAAAAAAAACTAAGCAAGCGTGCAAGGCCCTGAGTTCAAGCTCCGGTTGTCTCTGTCTCTTGTCTCTCTCTTCTGTCTCTGTCTCTGTCTCTGCCTCTCTCTCTCTCTCTTATACACACACACACACACACACACACAGAATGGATTATATCATCCTCCTTTGCTGCTTTTTTTTTTTCTTCCCTCTATAATAAAACCCCAGTTCTGTTTCCCTGCTGGCTCTCACTCCTGACTTCCAATCCTGACTCCATGTTTTGTTTTGTTTTTCCAATGCTAGGATACAGCAAGAAAAAAAAAAGTACTTTCTGGACATACTGAATTCTGTTGAACATAATAGCCACATGTATCTTTGTACTTCTGATGTGTATAATCCTGTATCCCAGGATAAGAATCAAGCCTAATTTCTGATGTTTGACTTCATATATTTCAAGGTCAAAGATGAAAAATGCTCATGATAGAAAAAAGAACTTACATAAGAATGAATTCTACTTTGGTTTATATGACCCTTCAAAATTAAGATGTTTTGTATGATTTCGTATCTAACAACCAAAAACAAAGGTATATAACTTGAGGGGAAAGCCGGTAGCCCCAGTGACAAGGCCAGCATATTCTCTTAGGTCAAGAGATAAAGCAACCCTCTGAAAATAGGTTATTTTCCCAGCAGCTCCTGAACACATCCACACACCCCTCTCCAAGCTCAAATCCACTCGGAATCCAAGCTGACTCCAGGCCGGTGTGACAGGCTGGTTTTATGCAGCCAGGACATGGATTAATGATCTCGGCAAAAAAGCTGGCATGTTCAGGAGATTTAATTTTTTTATATAACGGTTTTAGCCAAAGCTGTTCTAGGGTTCAGCGGAAGCAGAGTTCCCCAGGAGGGCAAACTTCTTGACTAATGGCGAGTGTCTAAGCACGGGGGAAGGCAAAGCCCGGTGCTTGGGTCAGGCTGGTGGGGGGGAGAGTGTGGGGTGGGACCGGCATCGGTACCAAGCAGTTAAGTGGGGAAATCAGCCTTGCCAGCCAAGTCCACACAGCACCTGCAAGGAGCACCGGCAGGAGGCCGAGGGCTGAATCAATGCGTAAGCCAGGGGGCATTGGCCCCGCAAAAGGCTACTGTGAAGCTGCCTGTTGCAGCTTAGACATTCACAACATGCCTTATTCTACACGGATCGTTTTGTTCCTGTTTTGCCTGATGCTTCTTGTGGAGAGCAGGAAGCCCAGGAAGAAGAGATGGACAGGACAGCTGGAAGTGTCCAAGCCCAGGTAGGTGGTGGTGAGAGGGGAGAGAGACCACTCCTTTGGCTCAGTGGGCTCCCCCAAGAAGGTCAGGGTACTTTAAATGTCCCACAAAGAATCTTCCCCTTTTTTGTGCTGGTACTGGGGATCAAACTTGGGGCCTGTATGCTGTCCCTTAGTTTTTTTTTTTTTGCTCAAGGCTGGTGATTTATCACTTTTGCACAGCTCCACTTCTAGGTTTTCTGTGGTTCATTGGTGAAAAGGGTCTCATTGATTTTCCTGTCCAGGCTGGCTTTACACTGTGACCATCAGATTTTAGTCTCCTGAGAACAGGCATGAGCTACCAGCACCTGGCTTCAGAGCCCGTTTCCTAGCTTGAGACTGAGGACCCCAGTACAAGCAATGCATCAGAGCAGGGAGAGCAAGGCTGGATGAAGATGTGCCTTTCATTTGGATGCCTGTGTTCAGCCAAAGCATTTTGGCAACTAATGGAAGTCTCTTTGGGTAACCATTGCTGTATTTCTCAGGATCAGGTCCCAGGAAGGGACTAGAGAGGACAACTACAGAACTATCTATCTTTAAGGATTTGGAGGCAAGAGTAACTCTGATATAGGAATTTAGCCTGAACTATTAACACAAAAGTTGAGCTGTGATTAGCTCACTAGTAGAGGACCTGAGTCCGATCCCTAGCATCAAAAAAGGGAAACAAAAGTAACATAATTGACAGTGGTTTTAGCTATTGCCAGGGAAGAACTTTATAATGATTATTAGGCTTTATTTTACTGTTTTGAATCTTAGGGAAAGTGTTTTGAAGTTTACCAGATTTTCAGGAATTTATGTTTGAACAATAATGAAGTCCATTTCATGGGGTAATGGTGACATTTCCCGTAAAGTTGTGCTTAGAATTTGCATTCAAAACCATCACATTACAAATCTCAGTTCATCAGGAAGCTGGTTTGGAACTGATATACAAAACATGATTTTTCCAGGCTGAGGTCTTCTGGCTTTTTTTTTTAAATTGGTTGTACTGGGGCTTGAACTCAGGGCCAATATAGTTTGTGCTAATATAGTTTGCTTGAAGTTGGTGCTCTATTGTCTGAGGCACAATTCTGATCCTATTTTTTGCTACTTATTTTGGATACTGAGTCCCACAGTTTTCTGCTTTGTACCTGGATCCTCTAGATCTCAGCCTCCTGAGTACTAGGATAACAGGCATGAGCCACCTGTTTTGAATTTCTAAACAATTTTTGAATCATACAATGCTTTCAGCAATGTTTTCTAGAACCTGTACCTCTAACATAGGTATATTTACTTACAAGTGATATGTATAGAATATAAATATACATAAATATACATGTGCATTATAAACATACATTGAGGCTTGCTTGCTACCTTATCTTTAGAAAATGAGATAAATGAGAGTTAAAATAAAGATAAATGAGAGTTAAAATCTCTGGTACTGCAGGGGGAACTGTTTTTCTGGGAAATGAAAATGGTCTCTGAGACCTCATTGTGCTCAGTCAAAAAGCACAGAGTAGAATCCTCCAGAAGATGGGAAGAGGCAATCCCCTGGAGAACTTAGCTTGGCTAGGTGCCCAACATCATAGATGTGACCTGGAGGGGACCCGAAGGCTATCATCTACCAGCTCCTCTGAGTCTAACTTTGGGAAAAGTAAATAGAAGGCGAAGAGGCCTAAGGTCAAAGGAGAGTGGGAGATTCCTGTTTCAGTCATTTGTAATGGATGCAATTCAGTCATTTGTAATATATCTTTATAGCAGAACTTGTAGAACCTTCATGATGCAAATAGGCATGGGTAGTCCAGAAGAGGGAGACAGACGATGCCATGTTTTGGCATCAGCAGTGGGATTCTTATCTCTCAGAGCACATGCCTGGAAATTTCCCAGAAGGGCTTATTTTACAGATGAATAAACAGTAGCTCCCGGCAGGAGTGAAGTTACAGAGCTGGTGGGCTGGAATGTAGGTTCCTAACTAAGGCTAGAGGAAAATCACCACCTGAAAGTTCAGGAAAACCCTTGAGGGGTCCTCAGGGGCTCCCACTCAGCAGCCTGGACTGCCTGGCATCTATCACTTCTCAAAAGACCCAGAGTCTCACTTCCAGACAACTTCAGTGAGCATGGGGACAGCTGGAAAATGACAATTAGAGGGAGGACAATTTCTTGAAAGTCATCCCAAGAGATGAACACACATACATTCAAAATATGGAAAATAATTATTGAGGAGAAAAAGATCAGGATGTTGTGCTTTTCTATCTTCCAGGATATACCTGTGGTCAGATAATTACAGACAGTTACATTTCCCTGTAGAAAATTTCAGTCCAACAGCTGATGTTTTCTTTTCTTTTCTTTCTTTGTCGGTCACGGGGCTTGACCTCTGGGCTTGAGCACTGTCCTTCAGCTCTTCAGCTCAAGGCAAGTGCTGTACCAGTTGAGCCACAGCACTACTTCTGGCTTTTTCTAAGTAGTTTATTGGAGATGAGAGTCCTACAGACTGGGCTGGCTTTGAACCAGGATCCTCAGATCTCTCTTAAGTAGCTAGAATTGCAGGTGTGAGCCACTAGTGCCTGGTTAAAGCTGACACTTTCTAGTTTTCAAATGTACTTTCATTACACAGGAGTTACACCACACTAATAAACAAGAAGAAAATGATCTCTTTTCTCCTCACAGTGTTACAGAGCACATCTAGAGTGCTGCGCATACACAATCACACTGCACACATGCCGCCCATTTGAGTTTATACTCTTCCCTCCCCTCCACTCCCCTGCCCATAATCACCCTCACCTGCCAGCCTTCCCTGCATTCTCCTGGCCAATACAGTTACATAAAACAATTATTCTGCCCATCACCTGCTTTTTCAAGAACTGCTTCTGGTTTTTGGATCCAAGTATTCCCCATTATGCCTCTCGCTTATTCCTGGTCCTTGCCTTCCTGCCTCTCAGCCTTCCTACTTTATCCCCCTCCTCCCTGCCTGTGGCCTCAATCAATCTCCTGATCATGTGACTGCTTTTCTTCTGGCCCATAGAGGCTTCCCCTGGAGTTCTGGCTCTCCTGCTTTTTGGCCTATCTGTCACCTCTGGAACACTCCATTCTTGGCCACCTGCCTCGAGCTGTTTCACTGGACCCAGGAGCAGCTTCACCCATCTGCTACACAATGTCCCTTACCCGTGGCTGGGGGTGGAAAAGGAGTTGAGAGGCTAGGAAGGCCAACTTTGGAGCAATTCTGCTGTGTTCTGGACTGTGGCTATGTTTCCTAATCTTTCTAATCCTCACTTTCCTCAGCTAACGACGGGGTGGGGGATGTCTGAAGTGTTCAGCTCCGGGCCTGTGCCCAGCAGGGTGAATGATGTTCTTGCTGTTATTGCTAAATAAATCACAGCTCAGTGACTCTAGCCCTGCTTCTGCTGGCATGGCGATCACTTTTCCTCCTTGGAAAAAAAAATAGAGGGCAGTTTAAGTTCACCTGGAAGTTTTGGCAGCCTGCTGTGGCCTGAGGGGTCAGGCTCTGAGGGTCCAACCAAAGCCTGTGAAAGGACCACTTCCCCAAGGCTCAGGATCAAACAATCAGCCCCTTAAAAATACTTCGAGCCCTCAATGGTAGCAGGATTTAAATGTCCTCTCTCCTGTTGGGGTGGTGCATTCTGGGACTTCCGGTTCCTAATCCTCCCCTAAATAGAAGTGGAAACTGTGCTAACAGGAGGGATTTGGCCCCTGGGAGGCCAAGGGGCAGTGAGCCGGCTGCACTCACAATTTAATGTCTATGATCTGCTAAGCCCTTGGCTGAGCCCTTCATCTGCCACCCCTGACGTCATTGCTGGGGTGTCTGGTCATGACCTCTCACACTATTGCAGCTAATAAATGAACCTTAGTCCAAGAGGCTGGGGAGTCTTTTGGAAGCATCGGGCTGTAACTATGGATATGCTCAATGGGCCTGGACCTGAGACCCAGGCCCAGCTCTAAAGAACAAAGATCAATTAGGATTTCCTTTTTTTTTTCCTGTGCCAGTACTGGGGCTTGAACTCAGGGCCTGGACACTATCCTTGAGCTTTTTCACTCAAAACTAACACTTAAGCCACAGCTTTACTTTTGGCTTTTTTTGGTGACTGAATTGGAGATAAGGGTCTCTCCTGTCCTTCACATTGTGATCCCCAGATCTCAATTTCCTAAGTAGCTAGGATTACACGCATGCGCCATTGGTCCTGGTTTATATTTTCCTTCTTGATGTCTTAGTGATGGGCTTGTCTAAAAGCAAATCTGATCATGACTTCTTGCTTTGTCTTCTCGCTTTCCCCTGGCCTTTGGATAAGGACAGAATTCTTCACAGGACTTTCAAGGCTCTGCATGACCTGTGTGCTCCTGCCGCTCAGTCCTTCCCTGTCTCATCTGACATACCTTACCCTGCAGCCAAAGTCACTTCCATCACAGTGTGAACTGGATGTGCTCGGTTTAAATGCCTAAGCAGTCAGGCAGCTGAATGCTGAGGCCTAGCAGAGAGGGAAGATGATGACCGGAGCACGGTTAAAGGACTAGACAGTGGGTGAACTAGAAACTACATGGACCAAGGGAGGTGACTCTAAAGGAGGAAAGAATACCTGGAATGCTGTTCGCACTGAGTGAGCTTTCTTCAGACCATCCTGGCTCTCTCCCTCCAGGCCTCAAAGATTTCCTCAGCTATCCATCTAACCACTGTACCTCCCAACCCATCTCTCACTATTTTTCTTTCTTTCTTTTCTTTTTCTTTCTTTCTTTTCTTTTTCTTTCTTTCTTTCCTTCCTTCTTTTTTTTTTTTTTGACAGTTGTAGGGCCTGAACTCTGGCCTGGACATGGTCCCTCAGCTCTTCAGCTCAAGGCTAATGCCCTACCACTTGAGCAACAGCTCCACTTCTGGCTTTTTTCTGCTTATGTGGTGCTGAAGAATGGAACCTAGGGCCTCATGAATGCCAGGCAAGCACTCTACCGCTGAGCCAACTTCCCAGCCCTCTTCCTATTTCTTTACCCTGTTTTCTCTCTCCCTGTCTTTTTCTATCTCTCTGTCTCTATCTCTGTCTCTGTCTCTGTCTCTGCCAGTACTGGGGCTTGCACCGGGCACTGTCCCTGAGCTTCTTTTGCCCAAGGCTAGCACTCTACTACTTGAGTCACAGCACCATTTCTGGCATTTTCTGCTTATGTGGTACTGAGAAATTGAATCCAGGGCTTCATGCATGCTAGGCAAAGCACTCTACCATTAAGCCACATTCCCAGGCCCTGATTTCTCATTTTTTTTAATGACATTTAAAAAATCACCTCCTGGGGCTGGGAAGTTGGCTCAGTGGTAGAGTGCTAGCCTTGCATGCATGAGGCCCTGGGTTCAATTCCTCAGCACCACATAAGCAGAAAAAAGCTGGAAGTGGCACTGTGGTTCAAGTGGTAGAGCGCTAGCTGAAGAGCTGGGGGACAGCACCCAGCCCCCACAACTGATATTACATTACTTATCTGTCCCTTGTCTGTTGTTATTTCTCCTTCTGTGGTGGTAAGGGCTGGAGTGACAGAGAAGGACAGACAGCATCATGCAGGATGGCTACTCCACAGGAATATGTCAGATCCCAGAGTTGGGGAACAGTCACAAGATGTGTGACAGTTTTCCACATGGAAGCTGTCCTCCTCAAGGTTGATGGAAGGAACCGGAAGAAGAGGAAGGGAGATAGCCTTGGCCTGAACCCTCACCCTCTCATCAGAGTTGAGAAAATGAGGGGGGGGGGTGGAAACTAGGCCTGGGAAATTGCGCCTGGAAGTTTCCTGGGAGACTCAGCTGATGGAAATCCATGGGGCAGGGACTGGCCAACCTTTAGATTAGCACTAAACTACCAATAGAACATTTTTTGCATATGTATGTTTGTGTGCTGGCACTGGGTCTTGAACTCAGGGCCGTGTACTCTCACTTGGCTTTTTCATTCTGCTGGTGTTCTACCACTTGAGCCACACTTCCAGATCCTGCTTTTGGCTTGTTAACTGGAGACAGGAGTCTCACAGATTTTTCAGCTTGAGTTAACTTCAAACCTTGATTCTCAGAGCTCAGCCTCCAGAGTAGTTAGGATTATAGATGTGAGCCACCAGCACCTGGCTAATAAAACATTATTGTTCTACATCAGTACCACTCAAAACAGTAGCCAACAGCTCAAGTGGCTTTGTGTACTTACCTGTAGCTAGTATAATGCAGAAACTAAATATGAATTGTACTTAACCAAAATTGAAACAGTCACATGGGATTAGTGGCTGCTTTATCCATCAGAACAGCTTTGAGTCCACTTAATTACATCATCTGGGCAGAGCAAGTACAGAGTGAAAGTTAAGAGACTTTATTGGAAGATGTTTCCAAGATCTCAAGACAAGAAATAAGTTACTGCTTAACCAGAAAAAACATCTGTTTGTCCCAAAGCTAATGAAGCATAACAGAACACAGAGGTAAAAATAGGCATAATGACAAAGGAACAGTAAACAAAGGAAAAGCTCTTTGCTTAGATAAAAAACAAACAAAACCCTTCGATACAAATCAAATCATAGAGAGCCTGAGCAAACTTTACCATGTTGCAATTATTCTCCTGCTTCTTCTACCTAAAGGTCCATGCCAACATGTATCTGGGCAGCTCTGGGGATGGTGCCAAGGTGTTGGTTAAGTTCTGGTCCTCATGATTCTCAAACACTGCTTCACCTTGGAGCCACTCACCAGACCCTTTATATACTCTCTGCACTGAGACTCCAAAACAAAACCACTCCTTCCAATCCAGCAGTAGTTTGCACACCTCCCAAGTGATTACAGTCAGTCCTGTAGCTAAGTTTGACAATCATTGTTTTGACCAACAAAGCACAAAGCCAGTTTATAATTATGAAGAGATAGCATAGATGTGGCACTGTTTGGAACAGTGGTTCTAAGCTTTGCAAATCAGCTAGACTTTTAAATCCTGACAATGTTGGCACCCCTCCCAGACATATAGATCTGATTCATCCAGGATAAGGACTCAGTATCAGGACTTTTTGATATTTTTGATGTGGGACTTTTCCCCCCAGTCCTAGGGTTTGAACTCAGGGCCTGGGCACTGTCCCTGAGCTTCTTTTGCTCAAGGCTAGCATTCTACCACTTGAGCCACAGTGCCACTTCTGGCCTTTTCTCTTTATGTAGTACTGAGGAATCGAACCCAGGGCTTCATGCATGCTAGGCAAGCACTCTACCACTAAGCCACATTTCCAGCCAGTCATAGGACTTTTGATAAGCCCTCTGGTCTACAGAGAATTCTGATCAAACAGACTAGAATGAAATTGTTTTAAATTCCTTCTAGAGCTGACCACTTTGTCCTGTCATGCTGATGCCTTATACTGAGTACTAAGTGCTAAGCACTGTGCTTAGTGAACTCAGTCCTAACCCTTTAAGAAGATTCAATGAATTGTATATGAGTTAAGTCAGGCACCAGGCATGAACCAGTAAGTATTGTTAGAGAAAGAGACAAGGTGCTATGGATTACCACATCTCTGTGCCTTCTCTCCTGTTTTCCCTTCTCATTTCTTTTCCTTAATGACAATCTTGTCAGTAGACAATTTCTTTAGGACATCTTTTTGTTGTTGTTGTTGTTGTTAATTCCAGTCCTGGGCTTGAACTTAGGGCCTCTAGGCACTGTCCCTGAGCTTGTTTGCTCTAGGTTAGCACTCCATTATTTGATCCATGGCTCCATTTCTGGTTCTTTTGGTGGTTAACTGGAGATAAGAGTCTCACAAACTTTCCTGCCCAGGCAGGCTTTGAACTGGGATCCTCAGATCTCAGCCTCTTGAGTAGCTAGGATTATGGCCAGGAGCCACTGGTGCCTGTACCTTTAGGACATCTTGCTCTGACTGCTTTAGGATTGTGTGGGGTTGTGCTAAAGAAAATGGTCTAGAAAAAAAATGTGTCATCTAGTTTAGAGGAAGGGGCGGAAGCAGGGCCTGCATTCTGGGCTCCAGCTCCGGCTGCCGCCATGTGGCCTCCTGGCTGGGTGCCCAGAGCACTGTGTTTCCCCATGTGGCCCTGACCTTCACCGGCTCTGCTGACAGAGGCTCTCTACAGGGGTTAGCCCTGCGAGACTGACCAGCAACCTGGCGAAAGAAAAACTAGGTCTGCTAGGATAAAACCATCATTTTAAAGCATGGTCTCAAAGAATATTGATCACACAATGCAATATGATAACAATGCATGGGAAAAACAAATCGTAATCCCCCAGTACTCAACCCAATCAGCTTCATCCCACTCTAACTTTTGGCAAGATAATTAAGAGCTTCCTGGGTAGAATGATGGAAAGTTCTGGAAGGAACTGAGACTCAGTTTTGGGCCTGTCTGTGTGTTGGGGGTATGTGTGTAATATTGGAAGGGGTCCCTCACTACTCCCCTTCCCAGATATGAAGGTGGCAGGATGGAGAAAAGATGCCTGATCAGTAGGACCTACAGGAAGCAATCTGCCCAAATCTCACTCGACACCTTGGTGGGCTAGTGGGAAAGCATTTCTGTTTGTCTTTGCAGTAACTTGTACAAAAAGAGCCTTGACGTGACCAAACTCCGAGCAGGAAAACCTCAGCCTCTCCTCAGAGTGGATGATCACGACTTCACCATGAGGCCGGCCTTTGGAGGTAGGACTATGTCCCCCCTCACTGAATCTAGGTCCCCCAGGGCTGCTGAGAGGGGCTGCCCTGCCCAGGTCTCCCAGCATAGCCCCTCCTTGGGGGGGGTGGGAATGGGGGTCTCAGCCAAATAAACTCATCAGGACTCCTAAAGTCACTCATTTCCCCAAGGAGAGGAGAGTGGGCAGACTGAAGGAGGCTGCAGGTGACTCCACTGTTCACCTTCACAGCGGGGACCAGCGCTGAGGCCAACTTGCTGTTGCTAAAACAAACAAAACAACAGAGGCAGCCAGAAGACACAAAGCAGGGGCCCAAAGCAGCTTTAGAAAAGTTCTGTCCTAGCAGGCTGGAGGGCTTAGCAACAAGGTCTGAAGGCTGAAGTTCAATATGAAGGCACTGACAGATTCTGGCTGGAGAGAGGCCACTTTCTGGTTCAAGGTGGCCCCTTTCTCTGTATCACCCCACAGGATGAAAAGGGGTAAAGACTCCCTGAGGTCTCTTTTTTAAGGGCCAAAATCCTATTTCCAAGAGAGTTTCACCCTCTTGACCTAATTACCTCTCATCGATAACTATCACCGTGTGTGTGGGTGGGGGGGGGGTAGGATTTCAACATGGGCATTTTAGAGAACATAAACATTCAGCCCACAGTAGCTGAGAAGGGAGCCCGCTGTCAGATAGGGAGCAAGGTGAGAAGAGAGCAGACCACAGGGAGACTGAGGCCCAAAGCATTTCAGCACATAAACCACAACTAAGAGAGGTGGGCTGCTTCCCTTTCTCATTTACCTCTGCCCTCCATCCTCTCTCAGGACCCAACTAGCCTTTCTAAGCCTCCACTTGCTCCATAAAATGGGAGCCATAATCACTAAGGATGGGGTGCTGTCCTGATTAGGAGAGATAATATATGCAAAGCCCTGTCACATATCTGTGCATGTCCGCTCAGCAAACCCAGCTGTCAGACCCTCTCTCCTGTCACTGTTTAGGGATTAGTAAATTTCATTTATCACAGAGGCATTGGCATTTAAAAGGCACTAAATTCCTTGAGCTCTGACACCTGCTAGAGAGGAGAGGCGTGGGTGTGGATTACCATCCTGTGTTCCTGTGTGCCTTCTTCCCAGCCAGCAGCCTGAGCACCTCTGGCTCAGGTCAAGAGGAGATGGTCAGATTTCTGGGGTTTCAGATTCCTTGAGGTTCATAATGGGTAATTCTGCCAAGAAAATTCATGATAATAAAGTTTGTTTTTTTTTTGGTCGGTAGTGGGGCTTGAACTCTGGGCCTGGGCGCTGTCCCTCAGCTCTTCAGCTCGAGGCGAGCACTCTACCTCTTGAGCCACAGCGCCACTTCCAGCTTTCTGGTGGTTTTATTGGAGATAGGAGTCTCACGGTCTCTCCTGCCCGGGCTGGCTTTGAACCGCGATCCTCAGATCTCAGCCTCCTGAGTAGCTAGGATTACAG